ATATATTACGGTTTATATTTTTGTTTTTTACATATGAATGCATACTAAGTATATTCTAATACGAAAAGTAACATTCTTTTGGTCTCATTTTAGTAAAAAAATGTAATTTCCTTCATTTTAAAAACGATAATTAAGCACACAACTCTAGAACACATAAATAAAAATTAAGAAAAAAGGAAAAATTTGACAGGCCAGTTTGAATGTTTGAAAAAGGTTAGCTGTGTTTGGGAAAGCAACTTTGTCAGTGGCAACCAAAAAGTGAAAGAGAAAAGCAGGCGTGGCGTCCTTTCTTCAATGATTTACTCATTTTCTGACATCAAAAAGTTACAATTTACAAACTCCGTCCATTATCGCATTCAAATCAAATCTCGACAAACCCATTCAGTTTTCTATTTATTGACAACTGTCACGAGCAAATACTACCTAAGTGACATCTAAATCATCTTTTAATCATCATGGATATACATGGAGAATGATATTTTTATATTAATATAAATTTAAAATTTTTTATATTTAATTTAAATTTTTTATTTAATTTAAATTTAAAAATTAATAAAATAATAAATTATATTTTATTAAATTTAAGTTAAATAAAAATTCAGTTTGAATGTACAAATTTTTAAATATATAAAAAAATTTTGTCTTAATATTTTTGGTCTTCATATTTTAATTCTAATTTTTATAATTTCTTATTTTTAAGTCTTTAACGTTAATATAGTTAAAGTAAAAATTAATACGTAATAGTATTTTAATGAATTAAATTAGTATTAGAGATTAAAAATAAAAATTTATTAAAATAAAAAAAATTGTGTTATGAACTATTCTCCTCCACAATAACCTCAAGCCAAAAATTATGCAGCTTGACAAAAATTACCACATAAAAAATCTCTAACTTTGACTTTTTTATGATATTCAACTCTCCCCATTTGCTATGGGTGAAAGGATAGAGTTGAACCCCACTCTCTACTCGCCTCATTCCTATGCCTATTTCATTACATTGGTATTTTTTTACTTCATTGCAAAAAAAAATAAAAATGAAAAGAAAGCATACCAAAACATATGAGAGACTAACAAATTAAAGCAAGAGTAAAAAGGAAAAATCAAGAAAAATACTAAAAAAAGAATCACTCATGTTAGATGTGTAAGTTAGGGAGAGTAATGTAAAACTTGAGCTTTTTGATAATTTTTTAAAATATTTATTAAAATAATAAAATAAAATTATTTATCAATAAGTATTGTACCTATCAAAAGTGATATTTATTTAAAAATAAATAAATTAAATTTACACTCTACAAATGAAATATACACTTTATGCTTCACACATATACATGCAATGTGTATTGAATACTATAAAGATAAAACACATAATTTAAAATTTAGATATTAAGGCTTGTTGAATGGGAGAGTTACCATATGTTGTCATTTAAAACAATTTTATCTCAACAAGAGAAATGATTACTCTTAAAAATCATACCTTATTTGAGTTTAGTGAGTTTTGCAGAAGTTGCACAATTAACTCTTTTTTTTAATACCTAATTGATATCTAATTAAAATATTCGTAGAGAAATGAAGTTCAGAAACACAACATGCTACTTGAATAATGTATTATTACTCTTTAGGATATTGTTATTCATATTGGTCTTTGCATTTATGAAAAGCTAATAATTACACTTATAAGAAGTGATTGAGTGCAAATTGTGAATGACGATCTTAGTATTCAACAACTTTATGAGACATTTGAAAGTAGTAGCTTAAAGTTAAGTTGGTAGAAACAACATTTCATACATGTTGTGATGCATAACCAAAATTCTCTTTAACTTGCACAATTTATGAGCACTTATATTTTTAAGCTAATTTAAAGATTTATGTTGGTCAAAAGCAACATTGGAGTTTTTATGTTGGAGTTGTGCATGACATGAAACATGGACATGGTTGCTATTGGAGTCTTACTCCATTAATTGTTACCTAAGCATGAGATAAATTTCAATCTATTACTCTTGACAATTTCCCACATACACTATATCTTCTTCCTTATAGTGCATGATAATTAAATAACCGATGTTATAAATTTATTATATAAGTATGATTTCTTGAATTAAGTGAAAGTTGTTTTATGCTATGATATTTGATTTTTAATTTTATATTTGTAAGGGAATAATCTACAAGTATTATAGGAATGACAAAAAAGATTTCAATACTATAGATATAAATTTGATATTTTAAATGTGATAAGATAATTAATTATTATATTATTTGTTTAATCATCAATATTACCTAATTTCATATGGCTTGATTTTGATGTCGTTTATAGTTAATATAATTTATGATTTTCAAAATACAAATAATACAATAACCTTATAATATAGAGTTGAATATATAAAGGGTGTTGGTGTCACTTGTATGCTTCCAAATTTATGAATAATACCAATCTAATCATATAATACGTAATTTTGAGATGATGGAACATATTTTTTATCCCTTATTTCAGCTCAACTAATTATATAACCTCATTCTTTGTGTCAAGATTAAGAAAAATTGGTTAACTAATTTCAAATATATTTTGAGCTTTGATTAATGACCTATAATATGGTTGATTGAGTTTAAATTCTAAATATATTAAGTGGTACATTACTCGCACCAAGCATTAGAAGAAAATAGATGCTGCTATTTTTGTATTACTTATAAGTACTTCTTATCAAAACTGAGTTAATATTATATTAATGCTTGTTGTAGGTAATGCACATGAAAAGGTGTAATATTTATATAGTAATAATGAATAATTTATATTTGATGAGATGAGTAAATTATGTGAGATAATATTATTATTATATAATGAGTAAGAATATATCTTGAAACTAACATCATCATTTGATCACATTTAGAGTGACACACAACTAATCTTAATAACAAGAAAGATAAGAGGCTTATAATGTTACTAAACATATGTCTAGACAATATAGTTTTCACTTTCCCAAATGTCCAAATGATGAGAAGATGTATACTATATTTTTTTCTAGTTTCTATTTAACTTTTTACAACCCACACCAATTACTTATTTTCACTTCTTAGAGCGATTTCATAATTACATATCTTTTCTCTCATCTCATTGCCTTTCACTTTTAACCTACTTACATATTATTTTAATATATCAAAACCTTTTCGTTATTAAATATGATTGTATATATAAATATTAATAACATGCATGAGTCATAATTTTATGAACATGATTTTTTTTTAATTTTGTATTAACTATTATGATTTTAATATTTTGAATATTTTTTTTCTTCAATATTTTTTATTCCTAAATTCTCTTATTTTTTTTTTACAATTTATAAAGTATCTATATTTCATTTATCTTCGTGTATTAGTTAAATAAATATCTTTGTATTTATTGATTCTTTCACTACCAATTTTTTTTCATCTTTAGCTATTAATTTAAATTTTATATTTTTATTTATTTTTTATATTATTTTATTGAATACATGACTTAACAATAGGAAGAAAAAAGAAGGAAAAAAGAAACTTACGAGCTCGGTACAAGGTGAGGATAAAACACTTCTTCCATATTTATTTTTTAATTATGGTTAACTCTAACTTCTATTTTTTTATACTTTTATAATATAATAATAGTTTAATTTTAATATATTATCAATATAAAATTTGTTATACTATTAATTGATTATAATACATTGTGAATATGATTTTATATTAATTATTATGACACACACAACTTATTTAAAAGATTTTTAAAAATTAAAAAAATTAAATTAAAATTTTTAAAAATTAAAAAATAATAAATTAGAAAATTAAAGATATAATTTTACGGCAAAACATAAAATATAATAAATAAACTTATCTAATGCTCTTACTTTTCTAATACATACACCTTTTGAACTAAACTAATTATATTATTTTATTTTTTAAATTTATTATTTTTCATTATATTTATTTTTTAGTACATCATTTCTTTCCTTACAATTTAATAATATACCTTCTAATAAGAATTTAGATAAATTAAGTAAAATATTTAAAGTTTAAGCTTGTTTTATGAAAAAAAAACTCAAACTCGACTCATTTATTTAAATAAATAAAATTTAAAGTTTGAACCTGTCTTAATTTTTTTATAAAAAACATTTTTAAGTTTAAACTTGTCTTAATTTTAAAAGAAGTAAGGTAATTAAAAGATAATAACCTATTTAGAATATGTTTAAAATTTTTTAAAAGAAATTAAAACTTTTGAAAATAAAAAAATAAAAAATTAAATATAATTTTACGGCAAAACATAAAATATAGTAAAAAAAAAAACTCAATTTATAAATTGATACTATATCACACGTAAAACTTACCCACCTTCTGTCAGTGGCGTACAAGTTTTTTTTAAAATATATTAATTAATAATTTAATAAATTTTTTAATAGGCAAAAGAGATTGATAAAAAAGATATATCGTAAAAAAAATATAATAAATAAAATAAGAGTAAAGATATTTGTATAACATTTTCATAAATATTTTATAATTTAACAGAGAAATAAAAAGAAGTAATGGATAAAATGAACAACATAATAGGAAGAAAAGAAATTATGAAAGCTTATTCAATGAGTATCATTACATAATAAAATAATCTTGTTCGTTAATATCTTAAAATTACTTATTAAGAATTTAAAATACAAAATTATATTAAAAATTATGTAAGAGATACATTAACAATCTTTTATTACAATTTTGCCATTGAAGAAATATTAGAAAAACACGTTAAAAGATCATCCTCTGTTCCGATCCATTAAAAAAGTGTTAAAAACACTACCAAGTAAATGAAGTCGTTAATAAATCCAAAGGCAGAGCACTGAGACAAAATTCAAACTGAGGCACCTCGAGAACACAAAATTTCAAATACAGCACTCCCTTGTCCAGTGCCGGCGATCGCATCTTCTTCTTCCTCCTCCTCCTCCTCCTCAGCAACCGCAACAGCAACACCTCGTTGCCCAAACACAGTAAACAAAACATGGCACAAGTGGACCTTAATCTCCACATTCCTCCTGGGATTCTGATTTTGCTATGTCTCATCACTTGCATTCCCCTCACAATGTCCCTCAACAACGATGGCCTCTCACTCCTTGCCCTCAAAGCAGCAATAGAAGTGGACCCCACAGGTGCCCTAACCTCATGGTCAGACTCAGCCACCACACCCTGCAACTGGGTCGGAGTGACCTGCAAACACGACCGAGTCACCCAATTAACCCTTCCATTCAAGAACCTAACCGGTTACATACCCTCCGAACTAGGACACCTCACCCAGTTAAAACGTCTCACTCTCCCTCACAACAATTTCTCTTCTTCCATCCCCTCTAGCCTCTTCAACGCAACCAGCCTCGTCGTTTTGGACCTCTCTCATAACTCTTTCACCGGTTCGCTACCTCAGTCGGTTTCGTCTCTCAAGAACCTCATGCATTTAGACTTATCCTCCAACTCCCTCTCCGGTTCCCTTCCGGTTTCCCTCTCCTCTCTCTCTTCACTCGTCGGAACCTTGAATCTCTCACATAACCAATTCTCCGGTCGGGTTCCGGCGTCTCTCGGAACACTTCCGGTCGTCGTGAATATAGATCTCCGGGACAATAATCTCACCGGAGAAATCCCTCAGGTTGGATCCTTGCTCAACCAGGGCCCTACCGCGTTCTCCGGTAATCCGTTTCTCTGTGGGTTTCCTCTGCAAAATGCGTGCCCCGAAGCTGTGAAAATTCCGCCGGAGATTTTACCAAGCACAGGAGACAATCCTCTGAACCCAAACCCGAAACCGGAAGCGCAGGAACGGAAAGCGCGGGGAGGGTCATTTTTCTCCGTTGCGATAATCTCGGGTGTGGTGTTGATGGCGGTGACGGGTTTTCTAACGGCGTGGGTTTTCCGACGACGGCGTTTGGTTGAGGAGGGGTTGGAGAAGGGAAAAGTGGAGAATGGGAATGAGAACGAGAATGGGTGTGGGGAGGAGGAGAAGGGGAGGTTCGTGGTGTTGGATGAAGAAGGGATTTTGGGGTTGGAGTTGGAGGATTTGTTGAGGGGTTCGGCGTATGTGGTGGGGAAGAGTAGGAGTGGGATCGTGTACAAGGTTGTCGGCGTCGGAAAAGGGGCTTTGGCGGCGGCGACGGTGGTGGCTGTTCGGCGATTAAGCGAGGGGGATGCCACGTGGCGGTTGAAGGAGTTTGAGTCGGAGGTTGAGGCTATTGGGAAGGTGCGACACCCCAATGTTGTGCCTTTGAGAGCGTATTACTATGCCAACGATGAGAAACTGCTCGTCACTGATTTCATCCGCAATGGCAACTTGCACGCCGCGTTGCATGGTACCCCTTCTCACACCCTTTCTCGATTTTTTACTCAGAATATTTCAAAATTAATGTTCTTTGATATTAATGATCTTTAATTAAAATTACTATAAAGGAAGATAGTAATAAGTGCTGTTTTATATTCCTTAGACTGGAAATACGTATATTTTTTCATTTGACTTTTTTTACAATATTAAGAACATTATTAGGTGTATGGGGAATAGACTGATACAACAACATTATTCCCCTTTAGCTTAATTATAGAGCATGTTTTCTTTTTAAATTTTTTGAGAAAACTGTAAACTAAAAAAATTATTTTCTCTAATGAGATGAATATTTAAATGGAGAAATTCTAATGTACGCTATTAAGTCAAGTCTGTAAAAACATAACATGTTCCTACGAGAGTACTTAACGTTGAATTCGAATCTCTACATATTTTGCATGCCAAAGTCAACATAATTAGGGAATCACTTTTCATATTTTTTCTTGCATAGTATAGTGGCATACTGGCATGAGACTAGTGCTTGGGCAACTTACTACTGTTTTGGCTCCAGTAAGTGAAAACATACCACCCATTATGAGTGTACGTTGGTGAGGGTCACCGTGTGATTGAGTTCAAATTATAGTTTTTACTTGAGAGCTAATAATGTCGCCATGATGCTATTGTACGTATACAAGAGTCAAGAGCTGAATAGCAAAAACTTTAACCAGTTAGAACTGTCTATATATTTTGGGGGCCACGGGCCACCCTGTCCTTAGTGAATTGTGCTTCTTTGCACTAGAGAATTGAAACCACTTTTTAATGGCTTTTGTCCGTGATCACATAGTTATAGCTTTATGCAGGTACATTTTTGGCATCTTCATTATTGTTTCTAGCATTTCTAATGGACATTCAACCATATTCAACCAAAGTATCATTTTTGTGGTCCTGCTTTTTGTAGATACAGTGGTGAATGCAAAAATTTAGCTGCATTGTGTTGACCCCATTTGAGTGACTGAAAATTCCATGGTTTTTCCTATGGGATCTTCGTCATTCCGTAGTGTCTGTCTCGTTACATAATGGGCCACTGGTTATCATTGCATCTATATTGGGGGGTGCATTCACAATTGCACTTAATGCCATGGTCATGAGGTGTGGGGGAGGTCTCCAAAGTAGAGAGATTTTAATTCTTATGTTCAGGTTAAACCTTTTAACTCTATAGTTACGATTTTGCCACTTGGATGTTAAAAAAAATGAATTTGTAACTCAAGCATATGTTATAGTTGACTTGTGAAGTCATTGTCATCTTCTGTGTAACATGAAATACCTCTTAGGAAAATTAATGTTTGCCTTCTCATTTTCTGCACTCTAAAACTCTGCTGGTGGTGGTTGTGTGGTCGTTTTCAGTTTCCACTTGGCATTTTTAAGGGCTGTTTGAAGCATTTTTCTGCTTTGTATATGGTGTTTTTTTTGGTTGCAGGTGGGCCTGCCAATTCATTGTCACCGTTATCATGGGCAGCAAGGTTAACAATTGCTCAAGGAGCTGCAAGGGGCTTAATGTACATACACGAGTTCAACGGTAGGAAATATGTTCATGGCAACCTTAAATCAACAAAAATCCTTTTGGATGATGATCTTCATCCTTACATATCTGGTTTTGGACTTACCCGTCTCGGTTTGGGCGCCCCAAAGCCTACTCTATTGGCACCAAAACGGCAGAACTCAAACCACTCTATGGTAACCTCAGCAATTGGTTCAAAAGTTTCAGCTTCCTCTAACAACTACTTGGCTCCTGAGGTGCGCATAGGTGGTGGAAAGTTCACTCAGAAATGTGATGTGTATTCTTTTGGTATAGTGCTATTGGAACTTTTGACAGGTCGGCTTCCAGATTTAGGGGCAGAAAATGAAGGTAAGGATCTAGAGAGTTTTGTGAGAAAAGCATTCAGGGAGGAGCAACCCTTATCAGAGATTATAGACACTGCACTTTTGCCTGAGGTTTATGCTAAAAAGCAAGTTATTGCAGCATTTCATGTTGCGCTGAACTGCACAGAAGTTGATCCTGAATTGCGACCAAGAATGAGAACCGTGTCTGAGAGCCTTGATCGCATAAATATTCAGTGAAAAAAGATAGAACCTTGTAAATTTTTTGTTCTTGTGGCTAACCTTTTGCTTTTTCTTTGGTGGTTTGAGTGCTGTTGGTTTTGTAAGATTCTTGAACATTTGGAAAAGTAGATGCAGGTTGTTTGATGCATTGATATGAGCTAATGCCAATGCATTTTCCTTCTTAAAGGAAATTACTTCCCTTGCTCTTCACTTAAAATGGCAACTAACAACGGATGTTGCTAGCTATTGTTAATATTAACCTATGCTTAAATATATAAAGGGTAGTGTGTATGGATAAACGACTTAAGTAATTGTTTATTTAATAAATATTTTTTATATGATAATCTGTGTCATAAATTAATCATAAATTTGTCGATATAAATTAAAAATGATTTATTTTGATAAGTTATATTCAACCTGCTAGTAATTTCCAACCAGTGAATCATGTACATATTATAAAATTGTTCAAACTAAGTGAGGTACAGCTGCAGCTAGCAATTCTACAGACAAGCAGTTAAGATTGCATGTGAGAATAATGAAGAATAGTAAGGAAAACCGGTACATGCAAAGAAGACACAAGATTGAGTATGGACCACCGTTACAAAAGATTTTAATCATAATAATAACGGAATAAGCATTTTGACAACAGGAACTCAAGCAATTATGCATGTTTGAAAAAGAAAATAAAATAAAAAAATTCAAGTCAAGCACTTGTATGCTTTTATTTTATTTGTTATGATAATTAGGGCTGGGCAATCGGTGGGTTTGGCCTCTAAAATCCAAAATCGAAGCATTCTATTTGATATGAATTTAAAAACTAATTTCATATCACAGGCTGCGAGTTTAGCGGATGGATTCAAGTAAATTTGGGTTAAAGTATTGAAAGAAAACAAAAGATGAAACGGAGGTTTTTTATGTTAAAGAGAATTTAAAGATGATTTTTTATACGTTATTTAGGAAGATTTTATATAGCAAATTATAGAGGAAAAAAAGATAAAAAATCTACTGAGTTTTTTGGATTCATATCCTTAAATAATAAATAATACAATAACCAACCTTCCTTTTTATTTTTGAGTATTTTTTTTTTAAATACTATGATGGTTCCATTGTTTTCTTATTTTGTTAACAACTAATCTATTCACATTTATAACTAATTTTTTATATTAGAAAAATAAAAATAATCACTACTAATAGACAAAACTATTAGCTGTTTTTACATCCTCTCAAGTTGGATGGTGGAGGTCTTGCATTCCCAACTTGTTAATGAAAGCCTTGAAGAAAGTGGAGTAAAGAGATATGAAGTAAATGAATAAGTCCTTTCTTGATCTTTTCTCTAACACTATGACAATTTATCTCTATATATTTGGTTCTCTCATAAAATATAAAATTATGAGCCAAATATGTAGCAAATTTGTTGTCACAGTAAACAAAAACAAGTTGTTTGATGCTGATAAGTAAATATACAAGAATGTAATATAACTATTATATTTCGCAGGTTAGGCTAGCCATGACCCTATATTCTACTTCTGAGAAAGATTTGGACATAGTAGCCTGCTTTTTAGACTTTCAACTTATTAGAGAACTTTCAAGAAAGATACAGAATCCTGTAATGAATTTTTTGCTTACTATATAATACGTCTAGTCTGAGTTTGAGAATGCAAATAACTTGAGTTCTGATTTGGTTGAGAAGAATATGCCTTGAGAGGTTGATCCTTTTAAGTATCTAAGAATCCTTATGCCTGCCTTGTAATGGATGTTCATTGGTTTACTTATAAATAGATTGACTTGTTATACTACATAGTATATTTCGAGTCTTGTGGTTGTTAGGTTCAAAAGTTTTTTAACCAACCTTTTCTAATAAGTGATATCAGTGAAAGGACTTTCTTAGTCTAATTGAAACTTTATTAAAGGGTCAAAAGAAGTTTTTGCAAGCTTACTTGCCAAGTGACCACTATCTTTCAGGAGCCGGAGAGTGTATTTCCTCTAATTGAGATGTATTCTAGCTTTGGATCTTGCTAACTTTAATCCTAGAAAGTATCTCAAGAATCCTAAATCTTTGATTTCATTATTACTATGCTATTAACATAGATTAGTAGTACTGTTAAGGATTCGCCATGCCCTTTGGTAAAAAGTACTTGGTTTGCCTAGGATTGCTTGTATTGCAATGATGTTAGAGTTGTCGTTAGGGTTAAATGCCACTTTCTGCTGGTTTGCTTAAGTCCATAAAGGTTTGATTGTTGTAGTAATTTCGTTAGGCTCACAAATTGGTCCTTGCTAAGCATAACTCCTTCAGCATCATTGTCATTTAGACTTGATTCTTTTGAACTATTGTCTAGTGGGAAGGTACTGACATTGTTGGCCACCCAATTAGTTCTTGTCTGGGCCCTTTAAGAGAATCCACATTTAAAAAACAAGTATCAATCGTGTAGTTTATCTTCTTGCAATGAGTACAATACTTGATTTTTTGTTGACTCTTGTTATTATTGGTTTTGTTCTTATTCTGCCTTTCTTTTGATTTGAAACAGAATTCTTAAAGGCTTGTTGTGAGGATATTGATAGAATTGTGATTATGAGTTTCCTACTAAGGATGCATCATTGGTGAATTGTCTTTCTTGCTGGATCACCATGGAGAAGGCTTCTTTTATATCTAGTATAGTTTTGATAACATGACCTAAGACTATACTTGAGCATATTATTCATTTAACCCTTTGAAAAATATGATCACAAGGTCTTGTTTCTTATAACTTACCATTGAAGAAATTGCCCCACAAGAACAGGGGGTGGAGCATTTGCAGTATGGTGTGAGTCGATAATTCTCTATTTCTTCCCAAATTGATTTTAAGCATGTAAAGAAATTTACAACAACAGAGGGACCTTGTTGGAGATGATGAAATTCTTCTTGAAGATTTGACATGTGGAAGATGTCTCCTTGGGAGTGTTGTTTATGGAGATATTTCCAAGCATTCATCACTTTCTCAAACCAAAGAATGAATTTGACTATGGATGCATTGTTGCAGCGTTTCCACAGATTGAATAAAGGATCACTTTTCATTTGTGAAGATATCGTGCCATCCAGAAACTGCATCCTGTTCTTTATTTCCAAAGCTTGGTGCATTTCTTGTGTCCAAGCATAGTAATTTTTCCTATTGAATGGGGTTAAAACAAGAATAAGTGTTGGGTTTCCATTGGGATGCAGGTAATGTGAATTGGACGGGTTGGTATTGTAATCAATATAGGGTGATTTCACTATTGATGAAGGAAAAAAAGAGGAAAGGAAAAGAAGACGAGGAAACTACCCTGCAAGGCTCTTGATGCCATCTTGATATAAGAGAGAATTTGGAGGTGTATTTTTTTTTATATCGAATCTACCAAAACTGGTATGTATATTTTACACAAAGTAGCTACTTAGGAAGGCTTTATAGCAAACTAAAATAGCTAACTAACTGTAACAACTAACGATTAACATATTTACAGCTATAACTAAACTCTATGTTGGAAAGATAATAGTAATTATTACTAACAAATAAAACTATTAGCTATCTTTACATATGTTGTAGAAAGAGATGCAAGAAAAATAAAACCAAGGAAGAGACGAGTACCATTAGAGATGAAGAATCTTTGGAAATGCAGCACTGTCAATGACAATGTACCATTAGTTTCTAATATTGATGTTGAAGATGAAGCACCATCAATATTAGAAACTAAGCACGGTTGAAGTTGGAGATGAAACATTGTGGAAATCGGAGAAGAGCGCTGTGAGAATTGCTAATTAGATATGTGCTGAGTGAGAGAAATTTTTGCATGGAATATGACTATGGTTATTCGACCAATAATAATTTGACACATAAATATTTTTGACATGTGTAGGAACATGAGTGGTTGTGACCATGTGTGGAGTGGGGTTGAGAACTCTAGAAGCATTTATCAAACTCAAATTTTGATGGGTTTAAAAGCATAAATCCATATCTAAATAAATGAATACATTTCTAACCCTTTCTCTCACACCATAAATCCACTTCTAACCTTTTTTCTCACGCAATTGGCTAAGCATCGATCCAAACCGTGCATATCATTTTTATTCATTGTATTCTTCAGTTTTGGTTGGTTGTATTTTTCCTACTCAACCCTAAAGATAATAAAAATAAGTAATTTAAAAACCTCCTTAAAATTTTTAATATTATTTTTTGTGATTTTAAATTTATTCTTACTTACTATTAAACATGTAAATCGACTGATAGCAAGTTATTCCAACTTAACTTATGGTCTACGAAAAATAATTTGTTCTTACCTTCATAAAAACTAAAAAATGCCAAGCATTCATAAATAAATTATACTATAAATAAAAATAAATTAAAAGATAATAATACATATTTTATTATTGATATATTTTATTATATTAAAAATTAAAATAAATAAAATAGTTAACTTCTAAATTCAAGAGAGAGATTTCAATAATCATAAAATTTAATCTAACTATATATAAAATGTCAATAATTACGATTATTTAAGAATTATCTTGAATGAATATATTTTTAGAAGTTAATTATCTTTTCATTATGTCGCCTTGAACATTTAATTTTTTTAGTCTACTTGTAATATATTTTTTCTTAATTCATTCTTTAACTTTAATAATACTATCGCTTCAATTTTGTCTTACTTTATATAACAAAATGTTACATTAATATTTTTTAAATATAAAAATAATCATACAACATAATTTGATTTTATTTATTTAAAAATTATTTTAATTTATAAATTTACTAATTTATATGTAAAGGAACAATATCTTTAATTTGATCCATAATATTTGAAAACAGTACAAATTGTAAATTAACAACAAAATCAAATATTCAATGGTGAAAAAATTGCAGGATTAAATAAAAGATAAAATAATTTTAAAAAAAAATCCCATTTTTAATGAAGATATAAATATATAATTTAAGAGGGAAATAGCCATATAAATGACCATGATATTTCGGTTACAACTTCTGGCCCATATAAATATTGTATGACCTTTT